ATTCATAATTTGAATCAAACTTGTCTCCACTAAATAAAACATTGAATTTCACTATATATCAAGCTCATGGATTTTTTCTTATAAATTTATAAATATTCAACATCTAGGTTTTGTCTATCATAAACTATATTATTACGCAGATAACATTATTTAATAAAATGAAAAGTTGATTCCAAAAAATAGATAAGTAATTGAACGATCATCCGGTTACTCATAAGTTTATTTAAGTTCATTTTCTTCTTTAAAAGAAAAGTAAAATATCAACATCAAATTTTCATTCACCTAATGATCAGATACATTGTCTAGGTCCACAACATAGTAAGTTTATGTGTGGTGAGTATCTTTATCTCTATGTTCATATTTTTTTTAGTTTTATTTTCATTTGGCAAATACTTTTTTTATTATGTAAGGAATATTTTTTTATTGTTATACTATATTTTTAACCCACGATACACCGTGAGACAATTTTTTTTTTTTTTTTGGAATTTACTAATTTTGTTAAAGTTTGTTTAATAATTATTAAAATTGCATAATACCAATCATCATTAAATCAGTTTGATTCCACATGTCTTGTATTGGTGTTGTTATAAAAATAGTAAAATATATAGAAACCCGTATTGAAGTACCAGATTTATAATTTTTCAAATTTTAATAATATCGATTCAAACATGTCCCATCATACAACCCGTCATGTAATATAACCCGTATGTGTTATTTTAAACTTATAATATTTTTAAATATTAAAAGTTTAGACCTTTTCTTAAGTTTAGATATATCAATTTTAATATTTAAGATTCTTAAATTTTTGTATAGATGGTGAAATTAAAAATTTCAACATAAAAACCGCACTAAAACAAATACAAATTTTACATTTTCATAATTATTAGGGGGATTTTCAAAAATAATTATTTTACAAAATTGAATTTTTTTGGCTGGAAAATCTGAATTTTTCATTTTATTGACTTATTAATTTTTAACTATGGGTAATATGATCATTAAAAATTAAGAGTTGAAAATGGCCCAAAAAGGTATCTTTGCAAAAGGCTATCAAAGAAAGAGAATTGAGTAAAATTTCTATAACTATTAAGGGAACTTTCCTGATCATTCAGATTTATATTCATTTTGATCATACAATAAAATTAATTAAAAAAGTTATGAATATTGAAACTTTTAAACGGTTCAAATGTTATAAATATTAAACTTTATAGAATGTATAAAATATTTTAAATATTTCAACTCTATAAAATTCTTAGTATTATCAATATTATAACTCTAAAATTTAACCAAGAGTTTAATTTTTGGTCATAAATTGTGTAATGTGAAATACCTTTGCAAACAATCATTTCGATTTTGTTTTGTTTTATAGAGAATGATTCAGGGTCATATAATATATAAGATCAAAATGAATTCAAATCCAAATGAGTATAAAGCTTCATTTAATAAACATTCAAATTGTAAAGTTTTATATCATTTATTTGATATAGTCAATTTGAAACTTCTAGAAGTTTTAAAATATTATAATCTATATATTTAAAATTAATAAAAATTTTAAAATAACACGGACAGATTATATGACTGGACGGGTTGAAATACGGGACAATTTCGATCGATATTACTAAGAAATCAAAATATTATTAATCTCATACTTCAATATGGGTAAAATCTTCATTTTATAAATTTTAACAACATCAATATAGACCATCTATAATTTAAAGAATTATGGAAGTGAAAGTTTAACTTAATATAAAAAGCTTAAAATTTTTGTAAGTAAATGAATGGTAAATGAGGTAAAGAGCATGTATGCACGGATGAATACAAATTTTTTTATGCTTATGTTTTTTTTTTTCCTTGGAGTGCAAATGTATTTTGCTAGGGAAATAGCTAAACGACAACTATTAAGAGTTACAGAATAAAAGATACGAAGCCATATATATACCAATAATTGTCACACTTTTAAAAGTCATAAAACATGTCATTTGGCTGATAGCAGCTATCCCCTGACCAAACAGTGCATGTTATGTGATTGGGTTCGAAAGACTATTTATAGTGCACTCTGAAGTATTTTGTCACAAGTGTAACTACATCATACACATCTACCTTTTGATATAAACATTAGTTATTTGGCAGAACCACGCTTTTGCTTTACCCATACCCATAGGATCTGCTCGCTATCAGAATTTTGGACAGCGGTAAGAGATGGATATGTACTCATGACATTTTGTTTTTGTTTGTGTTTCTTGTAAGTATGTCACTTTACTACTTGAGCACTACTCCAAATTGTTTGATACCACTTGGATATATTCTAGTGCTACTTTAATTTGGTGCCACTTCGTCTTATCATTATATTGGGTTTTTGATGCTGACTTGTAGTTGTTGGTAAATCCTGGTAAAGAAATTAATTACTAATCTCAAAGTTTATATATTGGTGAAAAATACGCCGCGATTTAGCGAAATTATTGGCAAAAATTTTGGTGACAAAATTGTTGTGGCTACTTCTTTACATGAGTTTCTTTTTCTTTAACACTGGAATCCATTAAAATTTGTCGTGGCTACTTCTTTACATGAGTTTCTTTTTCTTTAACACTGGAATCCATTAAAATTTGTTGTGGCTACATGTAATTAGCAAGTTTCTAAGGGTTAAAAGAAAAAAAAATGTGTAATAAGCTAAGAAATAATCTTTAGTTTAGGATTTTAGAAATCTATATGTGTCCACTTCTGATTGAGTGGAGCAAAGAAAGAAAGAAAAAATATTGCATGCCCTTATAAAAAAGAACCATATAATCTTAATAATATAATTCAGCTTTAAGCTCTAGCCAAAATAATAGTTTACATTGCACGTTTTTGGTGTGGTTTTGACATATGGCTCTGAATGGTCGATACTATGATTCAAACTTTAGAGTGGGCCGGGGACATGTGGTGCTTACTGATTATGATCCCAAAAGAAGAGTGGAGACACACTGCTCCGATTGAGACATCCGGTATAGCTTCCGTGCATCATAGCAAATCATTTACTTGAAAGAATCTATCTCTGGCAAGGGCAAAAGCGATAGGCCAGATTAACGAGGAAAGATTTTATAATACATTATTGATTTTGATTACATATTTTTATTAAGATTATTGGAGAGTATAAGTACTAATAGATCACTTTCCTACTTTTGCTACTATAAATACTCTTCTACTATGATGGGTTTATTAGTCTTATGAGTCAAACTGAAAGTCCCAAACGATGGAACTCAATTGTGTTCAATTTCTTGAAAACAAGACGATTCTAGTCACCGGCGCTACCGGTTTCCTTGCCAAAGGTATGCATGTATGTTTGATTTTTGTTAATTCACCATAAATTTATGTTTAATATTTTACCAATTAAGATTGGTTAGAGTGATGGGTGACTTGGTTTGTGCTTTGTTAAGACAATATCAGAGTTAGATTACCAGACTCTCTCCGTTTCAGTTTAAGTGTCGTTTTATAAAGTTTAAAATGTACTTGTTTTAGGTTTTCGATCTATACTGTTATAAATATTTTAACTTTAAATTTTTTATAACAAATTTATCAATAAAAAATAATTATAGTATATTAGCAAAAGGTAAAACGATTAATTATTTTTCCGTCATAATTATAATATCTTAAACAGTATTTTTAAATGGAGGAAGTATAATTTTTCCGCCTTAAAGCATGATTACTTTTGTTGTATCTCTCTTACCGAAGTTAAATATATATTTTTTTGATATTTCTTAGTTTTTGTGGAGAAAATTCTGAGAGTGCAACCAAATGTGAAGAAGTTGTACCTTTTGGTGCGAGCATCAGACGACGAAGCTGCGACTAAACGCTTACGCACCGAGGTTTTTTTACATACCCACTAATCCTAATTAACTACCTAATATTTCAAGAAATATATATATATATATATATATATCATAGTAGAGTACATTAATGTTGTATCATTCTGATTTGTTACAGGTATTTGAGAAAGATCTTTTTAAGGTGTTGAGAGAGAATCTTGGCGATGAGAAGTTAAATAGATTGTTGTACGATAAAGTTGTCTCAGTCCCTGGTGATATTGCTACTGATGAACAATTAGGCATGAATGACTCTAATTTTATAGAACGTATGCAAAAAGAAATAGATATTGTTGTCAATGTTGCAGCCACGACAAATTTTAGTACGAGAGGTACATATATAGCTTTACTAAGTAATTTTTTTATTTTTTTTTTGTATATAATTCATGGGGGAATTTCAAAAATACCCCTTTTCATATACCTCTTTTTAAAAATACCACATTTTCAAATTTTATCAAAAAACCCATTAAAAATGTTGAAATTTATCCAAATATGTGGGTAAGCTTATAAATATATACACAAATTACCTTTATATGTGTATAAAACTTTATATACCTTTCATAAATAGCGTAAAAATAAATTATAAAAACCTTATAAAAACCTTATAAAAACCGTATAAACCATTTTAAAAACCTTTTAAAAACCTTATAAAACTTATAAAAACGATTTAAAACTATTTAAAACATTTTAAAATATTTGTATCGAATCTCCCAGTAGTAGTTATTATATAGAAGTACCTTATAAACTATATAAAACTTTATAATTTTTTATATTTAAAAAGGGGTATTTTTGAAAATTGATAGATAAAAGGGGTATTTTTAAAAAGGGGTACACCAAAAGGGGTATTTCTCAAAAATTCTCATAATTCATATCTCTAATGAGATATAATTTTAATATATTCACATGAAAAGATATGATGTTGGGCTTGGGATCAACACTTTTGGAGCTCTCAATGTCCTTCACTTTGCCAAAAAATGTATTAGAGCGCAACTGCTTCTCCATGTTTCTACTGGTAAGTAAGTCTCTTTGTTCTTATATTAAGCCTCTAAAAAAATTAATTATCACATTTACATTATGTCACTCTTCATATAGTTCTTTGAAACATGTATTTCCTTTTTTATTTTAGCTTATGTTTGCGGAGAAAAGCAGGGTGTCCTACCTGAAAACCTATTTTTCTTGGAAGATATTCGTAACAACGACGGTCTTCGATTGGATATAAATCTTGAAAGGGAACTGATAAAGCAAAGACTGAAAGAACTCAATGAACAAGATTGTTCCGAAGAAGACATTACTCTTGCCATGAAAGAACTTGGAATGGAAAGGTGAATGTTATTGATGATTGAACACAAATTCATAGTTTAAACTATCAGAATGTAATGAAATATAAGTATATCACTTGATGATCATTAGGGCAAAGCTTCATGGATGGCCAAACACATATGTTTTCACCAAATCAATGGGAGAGATGCTTCTTGGTAACCATAAAGAAAATCTTCCTCTCGTCATAATTCGTCCCACGATGATCACTAGCACTTTTTCCGAACCATTTCCCGGTTGGATCGAAGGGTTAAGGTAAATATATATATATATATATATATATACCATTTATAGATTGATCATGTAAAACATTTTAGACTGCATAAATAAGAACATTGTATGTTGTATGTGCAGAACCTTAGATAGTGTGGTTGTAGCATTTGGCAAAGGAAGGCTTAAATGTTTTCTTGCAGATCCAAACTCAGTCCTTGATCTTGTAAGTTTACGTCAGTTTTTTTTTGTATTTAAATATATAGAAAGTAAAATTAAATTTAACATTTTAAAATATCAAACAGTTTTTTTAAAAAATATTTTATAGATACAAATATGTTGGAAGGTGTCTGTCGTCCATACGCCAAATACATACATTTTTTTAATTTGTGATTATTATAATATATCAGTCATTGTTGTGCACTAAGAGTAATATTCACAGATACCTGTGGACATGGTCGCAAATGCAATGGTCACGGCTGCGACAATACACGCAGGGAACTTAGGCTCTCAGACCGTGTATCATGTTGGCTCATCTTTTAAGAACCCTATCACATTCGAACAGGTTCACGATCTCGCGGCTCGCTACTTCACTATAAACCCTCTTGTTGGACGCGATGGTTCACCCATCATAGTCTCCAAAGGAACTATCTTTTCCACCATGGCTCAGTTCAGCTTCTACGTGACCCTTCGTTACAAGCTACCTTTACAGGTAAATGTCTAAGTTAAAATATTAATAGTAACACCAAATGGCGAATGTTGAAAGAAGAGTCTTATTTTGTTAAAAATAATTGGAAAAAAAAACTAATTATTAAATTTATGAAAAAATCTTATGTATATATTTTCTTCTACTATAAGATGTTGCGAGTGATGGATATAATCTATCCATGGTGGACTGGAAACAAATATAGAGACATTGACCGCAAAATTAAGCTCGCGATGCGGCTGGTCGAGCTTTATAGACCTTATGTTTTGTTTCAGGGCATGTATGTATCAATCTCAAACTTTAATATTCATTCTTCCAAATAAATTATCTTCTTTTGTTGCTAATTTTTTTTTTTTTAATGTAGATTTGATGATTCGAATACTGAGGTAATGCGGTTGAAAATAAAGGAGGCTAATGAAGAAATGAATGGTTTGTTCCAATTTGATCCAAAGACTATTGATTGGGAAGATTACATCACAACCATTCATATTCCTGGCCTCATCACCTATGTACTCAAAAAATAAAATAAAAGAAATAGTACTTAGAATGTTTGCAAGTTTTTTTTGCTTTTCTTTAAAAAATTTCATCGAAAATCATTTTTAATGTTAAATTCCAAGAATTTACTAGCCAGTATTCAAAAAGGTGCATTGGTTTGGTCAAACAAGTTTGGTGCCAACTTATGGACATTCTCATGTTAATTTTGTCATTGAGCAAGTTTGATTTTGCAAAGATTTTTGGAGAAGTAGTGTATCATTTTTTCTAAGTCTTGTTGAGACAAATAGAAATCTTATGAGTTCTCTCCTCCGCCTACGCACAAGGAGTTGACAAAAGACTTCTGAATTATAAAAAGAATGATCGACAAAAGAGTTTAGGTGTGGCTTAGTTATTAGATTATCATAACTATATAAAATGCCTCTTGGCTCCTCCCTTTGTTAGATAATTAGCTATAAAAAAAAAATCAGACCACGATGCTCATTATCTTTTTGAATGTACCATATGTTTATTTTGTTATAGGAGAACTTTAATAAATAAATAAATAGATTAAAAAATCAATTAAATTTTGCTATAGTCTTTTTTGATAATTATTTTTGATATAGTTCTGCAATATTTACTAGTATAAACCTTTATTTGTTTTAGGTAATCATATGAAAGTAATATAATTTTTCACAAAATTGTACGTTACGTTGTTTTATCATATTTTAATTACAATTTTTTGTTAATATATATATGTCGTACAATTGTAATTTGTATGTATCAATATGTATGATATATACACACAAACAAAAAAAAATCATTAAATAGACTTGATACTAAAATTGAAAAAAAAATTGAATAATTGTTTTGCCAAATTTGTGGGGTTACCAAGTGCTAATAACACAATTGGTAAAGTTATCTGGCAAACATTTAGAGATCGCCGGTTTAACGTTTGGGACGAGATCATATAATATGCTTTGGTTTCGGACCTGAGGGGATGTATGGATTTTGGTCCAAAACCTATTTAATTATTCAAAAAAAACATACCAGTATTAATGTTGGGTACATTTGCACTTAATGGATATTAATAATTCTCAAGTTATTCATTTTTCATATTTTCATGTTTGCTTAGTTAAATACGTTTGTCCCCTGTCAATTTTGTGGTTAGGATTTGAACAACTCCTCCTTCACATATCTATTTTGGTCTCATTACATACATACTTTAATTGTTGTCATATGTTTAACTTTTATAAGTTTCCAGTTTCCTATACGAATCTAATTCAGCCTTTTGAACTAGATCAAAAAGTTTAAGAGGGACAAAATAAAAGATACGAAGCCATGTATGCCAATGATTGTCACACCTTTAAAAGTCCCATGAACAAGACATGATAACAACTGTGCCCCAACCAAACAGTGCATGTTAATGTGGTTGGGTTCAAAACACTATTGGAGTGCAGTCTCAATTACTAAAACCGTTTTCTTAGACAGCATTAAACGTTTGCATATTTAGTTATTCTGCCCATACACATCGGATAAGATTTTGGACAGCAGTAAGATAAGGTGGAAAAATTCGAATTGATAAAATGAATGTTAGTGTTCGTTTGAGTTTCTTGTAACCTCACAGCTTATCCATAATTTTTAAATTGTTTGGGTCGACAAATGTTTTTTCCTAAATTAAATTAGTAAATATTAAAAAAATCTTAATAATTATATTATATTAAAACAGTAAATCAATTACTCATAATTTCGTTTTGCAATAAGTATCCACATATAACGTATGATATATTAATTATCACATATTTTGATATCAATCATATTTACTATGATTCTACTACTTTTTAAAACTTCGGAATTCGGAACTATATCCTAATTGTCGTGGATTCGAAGTAAAATTTAATTTATTTTGTTTGGGAATAGCTTTTTTTTTACGGGAGATTGAATTAGTGGCATAATGGAGTTCGCTCCAAATGCTAACCACTTAACTACCACACCATTGGTACCATAATCTTACTTTTACAATTTCAATATATGAATTTATTTTTATAATGTTACTTTAATTACAGTAATAATTCTACGAAAAATTATACCATGATGGATTTTGTTCATTATAAATTTTCAAAACATAATTAGCAAAATTTCAATTCTTGTAAATAAATTGTAAAAAATTATTCACAATCTTACTTTATAAATTTGTGAAAGTTCACATTACAATTTATTTACAACATTTTATATTTTTCTTAAGGAATAAATCCATCTCAAAAATTCGGTTAGGTAGTAAACAAATTATATATATTTTAGATGAGACAAATTTAAGACAGTGACATAACTTCCCTACCGGTCACCACTATTTTGATATAAGAAAGACAATTAGTTCAAAAATGAACAATCGAACCAAACATTAGTATCCTCTTTTGAGGTAATTTGTTCACCGTTGATGTTTATTTGTTATTTATGCACTGTTTTATATTTATTATATTCAGTTTTCATATATCTTTAGAAGATATATTTTTACGGTAAACAAGAAATTTTATCCACCGTAATAATTCCGCATGGATGGATAAAACTTATGAACTTAAACAAAATTTGTTTTTGTAATTTTAAGATATGATAGGTGAAATAAAAGGCAATGCAAGAAAAAAAGATATATGAAAGATTTAAGAGTAAAGAACAATAGGAAATGTCACATCAAATTTTATAAGGATTGCTAGCAAATTTTAGATCAATTATTTAAAATAATAACAATAATAATAATAATAATAATAATAATAATAATAATCAAATATCGTAGATCATTATAGTAAACTAAAGTACCGTATAACCTGTAAAAACTCAAAGTTGATCAATTCAAATATCATAAATCATTCATTCACTTAATTGTTTTTGTCTCGAATTAGATCATATTATTATTTAACATAATTTGATACAAGAATAGTATAAATCGATAAGATTATACATAACGTGGATTTGTGAATCACGTGGAAATCATTTAAGTTGATTTATATATGATATATTTTCACATCAATACCAAATGAGGGAATACATTTAAATAAAGAATTTAGCATTGATTAGGATGGTGGAATCATCTTATGTTGCCGTAAGAATTTGATAAATCAAACAGCCCATCTTTGATTACGTAGGAGAATAAGTGAACAACATAAGATGATTCGTCTATGTTTAAAAGACTTGTAGCCAAACAATTAATGGTATTTTCAAGCATATTACCCAAAAGTTTCCATACATAATGGTATTTACATTGCATGTTTTTGGTGTGGGCTTTTTGACATATGGCTCTGAATGGTCGTTATAATAAGGCCATCCTTAATGGTAGACTTTTAAGGTGTTGTTAGCTTAAATGCATGATTAAAATAAATTAGAAATGTGATTTTATTACTAAGAAAAACTTTTAGTTAAGAGATAAAACTAACATATTTTAGGGTGTTCTTAGCTCTTTAATACTAAATTAATGCTAAGAATAAATATTAAGAGACTACCGGTAATGTTTCTCTAAATCCCAAAATTAAGAATGGGGACATGTGATAATTATATTCGCATTAAGAGAATGGAGTGGAGACACACTGCATGTTCCGAGCATCATAGCAATCATTTAACTTGATTTATGATACATAATCACTTTAATTTACTACAAAATGAGATATTTAATTTAAGTTTAAACAAGAATAACAAAACATATATATTTCATTTTTTAATAACTAAGAAGTTCTAGATCAAATCTATACATTTTTTCCGCAACCAAAACAAATTATATAGTTTCGTACTAAAAACTACTCGAACTAACAGCCTCTAAATTTTTATCGACAACTTATTAGCTATTTTTTTTTTTTGGTAGGGGACAACTTATTAGCTATTGGTACTATAAAACTAGATAGTAAAATATAAATTATTTTTAAAAAAAATTACAAGCTGCCTAAAAGATTCAAATTTTGGATAGAAGTCCCAAAAACACTGCCGTAACAATTTGATAAATCAAACGGCCCATCTTTGATCACGTAGTTGAGCCACTGGTGCTCCTTTGAAGCTTATACCCACATGGCACATGCGAACGAAATAAAAGTCCTTTATTCAACAACATACACATATGCATACGAACAAAATTGTGTCAATCATAGTTCAATCTGTAAACTTCTAAATTTATTGGACATGAGTCTTCGTTTTTGTTCTTGCACTGTTGTCGTAACATATTGACCCATATTGTTGACCCATACCATATCTACTATTTATAGATCTACCTACATTAAGAAAAAATGGAATTAAAATTATAATTTTCAAGAATAAACATAAACACATCACCTCTGGTAAGAATGTTAACTATTGTATTGGCCCCTATTCGTCAATATATTAAGAAAAAACACTAAGTATATGTATAACAATTTGGCTAATGTATCATTTTCTAAATCTAGAAAATATTAGTTCAACAATCTGATAATCTATGGAATGAAGAAAAAATCAAATAAAAAAAATTCTTGTTCCTTAAGAAAACTTATTATTTTCTTGAGTTATATATGCTTAAGAAAGACGAATTCTACAAAATTTTCATACATTGAGTAAGGAGTGCTTAAATGACTCTTACAAGTACTTAAATTTACTAAAAATTGAATGATTTTTAGGTTTAGAGAAGAAGAAATAAAACTTACAAAGATTGTATTAATTAACAATAAAATTTCAGAGAATAACCATTTCAACCACCGGTATTAAATAAAAACGATAGTCAAACTTTGGCAGTAGTATGTTCATACCACATATACTAAATCAACCATTTATTTAATCATGTACACTTGTTCAGTTTTTTTTTTAATTTATTCCTAATTTTATTCAATTTCTTTGATTTTTATTTTGTTTTTAACAAATTCAATTAAAAGACCATTCGTTAAAAGCATGGCAAAGATTCTTCTTAATAATGTCATATATTGGATTAGACAGATATTGGTTTTGCTTAGTATATTATTAATTAGGATTATTTGAGGGTATAAGAGACTTTCGTGCAACGTCCTTTGCTACTATAAATACTCTTCTACTACCAATGGGTTTGTTTGTCTTGTCCATATCCAACTTCTTCTGAGTTAAACCATAAGCATACTCCAAACAATGGAACTCAACTCTGTTCAATTTCTTCGAAACAAGACGATACTTGTCACCGGCGCTACCGGTTTCCTTGCCAAGGGTATGTCTTCTTAACTATCTCTGTTTGATTTTTGTTAATTACCCATCAAGATAGGTTTAATATTCTTCAAGATTCATTAAAAGTGCTTGATGCCTTCGCTTGTGCTTTTAGGAACATTGTCTCAAAATGAGATTATGTTCTCTTTCTCTTAGGAACACATGTTCTTGAAGATGATATGTATATTATACACACACGAGATTCATGTTTAAGTAATCATTAGCTCGTGTGCTCTATAATATATGAAATGATGAGTACCTCATGAATCACGAGTAATCGGATTATAATATGTTTTCATTGATATTTCTTAGTTTTTGTGGAGAAAATTTTAAGAGTGCAACCAAACGTGAAGAAGTTATACCTTTTGGTTAGAGCATCAGACAACGAAGCTGCGGCCAAACGCTTACGCACAGAGGTTTATATACCAACCAAACCTAACTTCTTACCTAATATGTGAGGTGGTATATTAATGTTTGTATCATTCTGATTTGGTGCATTGAATCTATATAACAGGCATTTGAGAAAGATCTTTTTAAGGTGTTGAGAGAGAATCTTGGAGATGAGAAGTTGAATAGATTGTTGTACGAAAAAGTTGTCTCGGTCCCTGGTGATATCGGGACTGATCATTTAGACATAAAGGACTATGATCTTGTAGAACGTATGCAAAAAGAAATAGATGTTGTTGTCAATGTTGCAGCCACAACAAACTTTGACGAGAGGTATGTAATATACCTACAAGACATTTTATATACATTTTAAAATTAATAAAGTATAACTTTAGTAATATTAATATGAAAAAAAGATACGATGTTGGGCTTGGGATCAACACATTTGGAGCTCTCAACGTCCTTAACTTTGCCAAAAAATGTGTTAAAGCTCAATTGCTTCTCCATGTCTCTACTGGTATGTTTTATTATTATGTCTCTAAGAATGTTTTAACATAATCAAATTATTTCATTGTTGATATGGTTCTTGAGAAAACTTAGAGAGTCTTCCCTTTTTCTTGATCTAGCTTATGTTTGCGGAGAAAAGCCGGGTCTACTACCGGAAAAGCCATTTGTTATGGAAGACATTCGTAACGAGAACGGTCTTCGATTGGATATAAACCTTGAAAGGGAACTGATGAAGAAGAAATTGAAAGAACTCAATGAACAAGATTGTTCAGAAGAAGACATTACTCTTGCCATGAAAGAACTTGGAATGGAAAGGTAAATGTTCTTGATGATTGAAAACAAACTCATAGTTTAAACTAAGAGAATGTAATGAAATATAACTTGATGATCATTAGGGCAAAGCTTCATGGATGGCCAAACACATATGTTTTCACCAAATCAATGGGAGAGATGCTTCTTGGTAACCATAAAGAAAATCTTCCTCTCGTCATCATTCGTCCCACGATGATCACTAGCACTTTTTCCGAACCCTTTCCCGGTTGGATCGAAGGGTTAAGGTAAATTTTATTCGATCATGAATTTGAAACTTTATTCTACAAGTAGAAACTATCATATGTTGTTAGATTTGGGTCACCAATCTTTCTTTTTGCCTCATATTTTATTTCAAAAGTATGGTCAGAAAATATTGATTTCAACAGAAAAAGTTGTTTAGAAAATATTGATTATAATATATTTTTTTAAAACTAAAAAATATTTATTTTATTTGAGAATTTTTAAATAATAATTATGGAATAGAAGGACCACAAACTTTTTACTTATTTTGGACTACCAATTTCATTGGACAGAGTCTATTCATAAATTCTTACCAAAAAAAAAGTCTATTCATAAATAATTTTTTTTTATATATGGTCGGTTGAATAACTCAAAATATTTCTAACCAATATATTTTTGTGTCCTTACTAAATTACACTTGTTTCACATTTTTATGTATAGAACCGTAGACAGCGTGATTATCGCATTCGGAAAGGGAGTACTCAAGTGTTTTCTCGTCGATGTAAACTCAGTTTGCGATATGGTAATTATTTAACTAAACATTACTTTAGCTAAGTTTAACATTTCATAAAAAGTTAGTTTATGTCATAACTTTTCATTGGATGTGACATATACGAAAATAATTTTCACAGATACCAGTGGATATGGTGGCAAACGCAATGATCACTGCTGCAGCAACTCATGCAGGAGGTTCAAAGGTTCACATGGTGTATCATGTTGGCTCATCTCATCAGAACCCTGTGACGTTCGGAGAGATTCATGAGATTGCGGTTCGTTACTTCACCAAGAACCCTTTGCGTAGTCGCAATGGTTCGCTCATAACTGTTTCGAAATTGAGGTTCATATCATCCATGGCTTTATTCAGCTTCTACATGACCTTACGTTACAAACTACCTCTCCAGGTACTAATAGGTCGACCAATACATTTATACGTGAGCAATATTTGACTACTATTTTATCAACTCAAACCGAAATATAATCTCGTTTATTTATAAAATCTAAACCTATAACCACTCTTTTATAAACTCAAACCGAAATATATTTCGGTGTAATTAAAAATCTAAATCTTAACCATTATTTTATAAATTCAAACAAAAAATGTATAGTTTCGTTATTTATAAAATCTAAACTCTAACCACTCTTTTATAAACTCAAACCACAATATAAATTTCTAAATAAAAATCTTACATAATTTGTTTTCTTATTTTTATTTTTATTTTCTGATTTTAATTTTTATTTTTTTAAATAGAAAATAACATGGCATATTGTTGTATTTTGATTGGCTAATTAATAAGTATTTTCTAATATTGTTAATTCTTTTTCTTTGGTTTTTTCTCTTAATCAGTTACTAAAATTGATTGATATTTGTTTTTGGTAGTTACTAAAATTGATTGATATAATATACCCTTGGAGAAAAGGAGATAAATACGGAGACAAGAACCGTAAAATAGAGTTGGCAATGAGATTGGTAGAGCTTTACGAGCCTTACGTACTCTTCAAGGGCATGTACGTATTAATTACTTTCAAATTATTAATTAGTTTTCTACTTTTGATAGTATACCTGAATTGCATATACATAAATTATGTAACATAATACTAATAATGTTATTATTATTTTCATAGATTTGACGATAGAAACACCAAGAGCTTATGCGCAAACCAGAAGGAAGAAGAGAGCAAGAGTTCAGAAAAAATGATGTTTGATTTTGACCCAAAAGTCATAAACTGGGGAGATTATCTCACAACAATACACATTCCTGGTCTCATCACTCACGTACTTAAAAGATAAAACCACATGCAAAAAGAAAAAATTATATTACATTTCTGCATGTATATCACTTAATAAGACATATATATTTATTTGTATACTTGTAAACGTAATTCTTTTAAAATAAAACATATATTATCTTCTGCTTTTCTATTGGAAAGAGCTATTTAATTTGACGATAATAATTGTATGATACATGATTTGTAAATTTGTTTAGTTTGGTATAAGGTTATTGTTGGTTGGTTCATTTTACTATATGCGATGTCATGTAAGTGTTCTATAAAAACAATTTAAGAGGTTTAAAAGTTCAGGTCTACGTACGTGTTTGAATGGAATCGAACACACGAGACACATGACGACGAAGAATAGAGTAAAAATATATAAGAAATTACACGCAAAAATGCTTAAACAATCACGATCGTTGTGCCAACTTTGGTAAGAAAAAGGCAATGGTGCCTTATGACAAATTCACGACATTTAATAAGATATCTTTAGGTTAGCTTGTGTTTTTTTTTTTTTTTATCGAAGTTCGAAGATGAAAAGTGGAAATAAATAATGTAAAGACTTATTATACTAGTTTAATCATTTTTATGATAAATGATTTTTTCTTTATAAGTTTTAAATAATAAAAGATGATTAACCAATCCCATAATACCAACTGCCTAGACGATACCTATTAGTACCATAGAGACTTCGTAAGGTTTGTTCGTTTCATCACCGTAGATAGACAAATACAAGTATTTTTCTCTGCTTGGGTACCGTAATTGCGGTGAATGCTTATGGTTAAAAATTGTGAACATCAATTCAATTCAGTGGTTAAAAACATTACGCTTGCTACAGCTACAACCTGCGACGACGAAACGAACATAATTTTAATTATTTTTTAGTTTTAGACTCACGATAAAAACGTTATATTAGAAGTGGTCCAAGTGGTGGTGGTTTAGTAGTTTTCAAAAAGAGTTGCGCAGTTCTAAGCCAAAGATTAAATTTTCTCAAACGTGAATTTCTCTAAAAAAAAGTTATTTGCCTGTCGAAATAGTGTTATACTCTAAACCAGCTAGAGCATCTCCAATAAAAAAAATTTAGCAAGTTTCTAAGGATTAAAAGGAAAAAAAAAACAAAAAAATGTGTAATAAGCTAAAAAAATAATTCTTGACTAAGGATTTTAGAAACTGAGTCTTACATATATGTGTCCACTTCTAACTGACTGGAGCAAAGAAAAAAAAAAGAAAACAAGCTTTCTTATTTATTAAAAAATTAATGCTTAAAAACTTGTTAAAAACTTTACCATTAGAAGGATAAATTTTACTTAATCTTCAAAAAAAATAGCTTCAGATTTTATATTCTGTTAAATAAAATATCACTAACAAACTTGTTAAGAAATTTACTATTGAAGATAGAAAACTCGATGAATGAACTACTCACAGATTACATTCATCTTGAAGATTAGTCGGATGTAAAAGTCCGGTTTAGCTTCTGATTTGGTTGATTACCACACACCAAAATACTAAATTATATATATTTATTTGTTAAGTTGGATAATATTTTTTCATAAATTGATTAAAACTACCACATTTTCTAAAACTTCGCCTTGACCTTCTGAAATTGACACAAGGGAAAAAAAAAAACTTAAAAAAATTAACATAGTTAGATGGTCAGGTCAGTTCTGAACCAGCAAAAGTTAAACTAAAATATTAACCGGTTCATAGTCAACCAAATTAAACCGGTAACCAGAAACAAAACCAAAAAATTGAGAGTAAAACCAGAACCGTAGAGAACCGGAAACAGAAGAAAACCCTAACTATATAAATAACTCACTCATCGTCTTCCTCCATTTTCGTATCCGAGCTTCTCCAGAACTCATAGCAATAAAGCTTCTAGTAGCTTCGTCTTTTTGGTAACTCTTCTTCTTTCAATGTCTCTGAATCGAATCTCTTTCGTGAATTTAATTTCCAATTTCTGACTAATTTGATTATTTATTTTTCCTTTTGGTGTAATCAAAAGCAGAAACGAAAATGAAGGTTGCTGCTGCTTTTCTCCTCGCTGTTTTGGGCGGAAACGCTAATCCTTCTGCTGATAATATCAAAGATATCATCGGAGCTGGTAAATATTGAATTCGTTTTTTGAATGATTAGTTTCTGAGTTACTGTTAAAGAGAGAAGTAGTAGCAATGTTGATTTAAGAAAGTTCTGCATTTGCTTTGTTTTAGTTGTCAGAGTTTAGTTTGAGATTAAGATTTTTCTGTGAAAGCTTTGTTATGTTTAATAGTATAAATCCCTGATTAAGAGAACATTGTTTTGGTTAATTGTGTATGAGATTCTTTAAGGCCTTTGTTGTATGTAGTGAAGTATGTGTTCATTGTGTTTTGTATTTTGTTATGTAGTTGGTGATGATGTTGATGGAGAGTGTTTATGAAAGTTTTGTGATGTTTAAGAGTGTTTATGAAAGTTTTGTGATGCTTAATAGTATGAATTCCTGATCAAGAGATCGTTGTTTTGGTTAATTGTATATGAGATTCTTGAAGGTCTTTGTTGTGTAGTGAAGTATGTGTTCATTGTGTTTTGTATTTTGTTATGTAGTTGGTGCTGATGTTGATGGAGAGTGTTTATGAAAGTTTTGTGATGTGTAATAGTATGAATTCCTGATCAAGAGAACATTGTTTTGGGTAATTGTATATGAGATACCTTTAAGGTCTTTGTTGTGTAGTGAAGTATTGTGTATTGTGTTTTTGTAGTTGGTGCTGATGTTGATGGAGAGAGCATTGAGCTTCTTTTGAAAGAAGTGAAAGGTAAGGACATTGCTGAGCTTATTGCTGCCGGTAGGGAGAAGTTGGCCTCTGTGCCATCTGGTGGTGGTGGTGGTGGTGCTGTTGCAGCTGCTCCATCAAGTGGTGGTGGTGCTGCTCCTGCAGCTGCTGAGAAGAAAGAAGCTAAGAAGGAAGAGAAAGAGGAGTCTGATGATGTAAGCATTTCGATTTTGTTCTTGCTTACTCTTTTGTTATGATTCTTGATATTGGTCTTTTATCTGACTCTTTGGTTATATCTCTCAATGTTGATGCAGGACATGGGATTCAGTCTCTTCGAGTAAGATTTTCGCACACGGATATGAATCGAG